TTAGACTGGAATAAGGTTCAATTTTTATAATTAGATTTATAGAGGCTTTTCTAAAATGGCAACATTTGTGTATCTGTGTCACTTGGGAGCGTTTTGTCCGAACTAAACTTATTTACTGGCGCCCACTGAATAAAACATTAGAATAAGAAATATGTACTTGTATTTGGCAATTCTTTATAAACGATCATGCATAGAGTGATATTTATTATAATTTATAGATGACCGTATTATTCCAATTCATCTATCATTTTATGTGGAAATAGATTTATTTCTTCACTATTTCCGATCATTTCTTGTATATTACCAATTAGAACATGAGAGTTAGTGAGATTTATCATTTTCCAATGTGATTCAGAAATGAACAAAGAGCGTAAAAAAACATAATAAAAAATATCTCAAAGTATTTATTCACTGCATTTGTCTAATTCTAATTAATTATTAATACAATTTTGTAATTAATGTACTTAATATACAATTTTATTTACTACAGTGCTCTAATTAAATCCGTTCATTCGATAAAAATAATGGTTATTTTTAAAAACAACTTTTGTTTTCAAATTTTTGTCTTTTTACGTACAAATGATGATAATTTATTCATAATTTAAAAGAAGTATTTTATGTTTGTCTTAAATGTGTTCCGAATTGTATTTAGACATGCTACATAAGACAAGACGGAGCTAATTCGATTAGTTTATACGCAGAAGGAGCGTACAGTCAGCATATATTACCTCTGTGAACAATAATCTAATGATTCATGTCTAGTTGTTTTGGATACAAAGCACTTTGCAATGTCTGACAAACATGCTTGGAAATTAAGGCATCAAGTTGATAACCACGGCATTCTATTTAATTGTCTTGTTTTTATTTAACTCTGGCTAAACTGTTTGACAATATACACAAAAATAATATAATTATCAATGACGCGAAGTCAAACAAAGTCAATCAGACCGTAAAATTGATCCACTGTTTGTTTCTATATCCAAAGGCTAAATTGTAATTGAGCGATTTCCGTTTTTATTTCTGTCCTCTGTTACGCCCTGAAGCGATATTTGTTTAGGTTTTTTAGAATAAACGAGACTTTTAATTATTTGTTTTGACCGTTGGTTTGGACAATAGATTTTAGGCATGATATTAACTCCTGTAAGTCTATAGCCTCACAAAAATTAAGTTATACATAGAAACTATGTATAGCGTCTAGTCCTTTGCTCTACTTTATTTTTTATGTTAGAGGAGATGAGCACGGGGTTCTCTTGATGGTAGGTGAATTATTCCAGCCATATAACATCTAAGCATGATGTGCTGTCCCCTTAATTTGGTTTTAGATATTTGGAAATCCACGGACTGAAACCGAAAGTTTCAGTCCGTAGATTTCCAACGCGATTAAACTTTACGACATTTTCATCTGTTCGTTCGTTTCATGGTTCGTGCCCCGGGCAGAATTTCGATATTTTTACCACTCATTTAATATCCTGATTTCCAGTCGAAGTGTAATATGTTTAAAAAGATATATAAATTAATTAGTTAGCCCGTAAAAATATGATAGAGTAAAAACCTAAATTGATAAACACTCGCTAATATTTAAAAATAGACGGTCACTTTTCTTCACAATAATTAATAATATGATAATATTTAAGGAATTTCGTTGTTTGCTATATATATACAAATAATTATAAGTATACGTACGTATAGATTACACAAAGCTTCCGGTACCTGAGGCAGATCACGTGTAAGCGTTAAAATTTGACATTAAACGGTTAGTGGCAATAACGTGGCGTCAGTTAGGAAACAGTTTTATGCGCTATAACTGTTTAACACGCTATATCTCGTTATACACATGAATACGTTTAATCGTATTTCCTCAGTTTATGGCTCGACGCTTTTTATATGGACTATTGTCACTTACGACACTGAGATTTGGTTTTTAACGGTTTGGAAAATAGTTGATTTTAGTTATAAATCGTTTAATAGCTGTTTTAGCGGAAATAACAGCTTTATAGTTTAATATTTGTTTTCCAGATAGCAAAATAATTGCTTTACAATTTGCTCTTAGCTAAATTTAAAAATTATATTTTTGTTTATCGTTATAGATCTATTCATCGTTGAAATTATAACTTAACCTAGTTATTACTATAACATACGGAAATTAGGTTTGTAAATAAAACATTTCAACGTTTTAAAACGCGACATATATTAGTTAAACTTATTTGACAGTTTCAAAGTGTTAGTTGAAATAATTTCTAATGGATACACCAAAGCCCATCTTTACCTTCTATTTTAATATTTATTTTGCGTTCTTAAATTTTCATAGAATTTATTCGATTAAAATAATATTTTTAGCTATCTAAATCACACATCTTATCACTAAATCCACCACGAATTTGTCACAACTTTCAAGAAAATATTCCTAACAAAAGTTACATATAATAATTAATGAATTCCAAGTATTTTTGGCAAAGGAACTGACCCGCCACAGTGCATTATGTCGGTGAAATGTTAAAATGGCGAAGTTTCGTGGAATATATGCAAAGTAATTCAGCTTGCCACGATTCTGATACATTAATCATAAATTTCGCTTCTCTATGCATTCGGAGTTCATCGAATCCGTATTTCGATTTTAGAGGCACGTTTTATACTAAGAAACATGAACACATAAAAATGGATGTGCAGAAACAAAGATACTAAGAACTAACATAAATATTTACCCAAGGAATGACAAATACTATTTAAAATTATAAATGTTTAATATTGCAACTATTTTTATAATGATATTATTTTTATGAGATCTGTGTCGTAGTATAATCTCATTTCAAACGTAAAGTTATTTTGCTTATATTATATTATATTATATTATGAATTCGCCTAAAGCCTCTGTAGGTACTTGAAATAATAATACAGGTTATTACTATATGAAGTATACTTAAAATTCTCAAAAGTAGTCTCTATTACAACATGACCGCACTTGCTCTTTACAAGTATTTCTCATGCCAATCAACTATACCGAGAGCTGTAGCAGAAATTTGATGCCTACTAACGACATGACCACGGGAAACTCAACAAAAAAAACAAACCGAAAAAGTATGTAATTTTAAGCGACTGGACACAAACGACGTCACAAACACAAGCATATATCTGCTTAAAATGCTACGACGGTCGACGAACAGTAGCATCGTCGTTAGCACTTATCTTATCTTAGTGGTCATACGTAACGCGCAATAAGTGAGCACAAAATGTAATGCCACATCCATACCGTCGATACATCTTCGTAGCTTCTCGTTATGAAAATGCACAAGTCTTGTTACTTACGTAACTTACGCTAATGTTCTTGGACTTGCATTCGCTCCAACTTGCAGAATTTAATATTGCTTATGACACGTTTGCTTTGCAGACTCCTTAGCACCGGTACGCTTGTCTTCGCTTTGCCTTCGTAATTGTTTCAACAACTTACAGTTAATGAATGTAGAGATAACTTTTGTTTTAAATTTGTATTAACATGAGCGGTATATATAAGATCCTCTTTAACAAACATCTTATTTAGTTCAAAACGATCTTGTAATGTCACTAGCTGTGTCAGCGTCTTAGTACCTGTTTTTTGGTATCTTGAACCGTTTTCGCTGGGAACTCAACGGAAACTCTTAAAGATGAATAATTCTCCACGTTTGTTCCACATTTCCCTACGTTTACAGTCTGTTACGATGAACGTCAGTATAACCTTGTATTAATTACACTTAAATTAACAATCACTTCATATGAAACCTTACCATACTTGATAGCAAATAGAGCCCTCGCTTCGGGCATTAATTCACTAAGTGCGGTCGAATTAAGTTTCTACGTCATTTTCAGTAAGGTACATAATGTGGAATTTACCATAAACATACTATTCTGTAAATAGATCCAATTAAGGATTTGAAGAGATCGATTATGAAATTTTAAACATCGATTCAAAACTTGGCTAGTTTATTAAAACTATAATAATATTGGTAGAGGGAAAGAATAATTTTATATAATACCATAAAGTACACAATAATATGATATAAAACTTATCGCATGTAAAAAACAAACACAATTATTTAACAAGAAAGAGCGACATTTTAAAGCACGTTAAGCCATGGTTTCATTATTATTTACCATCTTATGAATTTAATTGATAAGTTGTAGCAAATAAATCAACATCAAAGACCACACCTTTATTGCTAATAGGTACAAACGTTAAGCCAAGAAGCAACTATAACTAATTCGAAGCACATCCCGATCGTAAAGTTTATAATAACAGACAGCTAACGAATTGCCCTCATAAACATTGTGATAGTAACGACTAATCTAGCTCATACATGTCACAAACTATTGTAATACCCATTAACTGTCATAAAGGCATATCTAATTAATCCTATATTTTTTGAAAGATTTGTCAAGTGTTTTTATTATTGCTATGCCATTTTAAGGATCTGTCCGTGGTTTGGTGTTTTTTTTTAATTTAGGAAAGCGAACAAAAAGAGGTTCGCTTGATGGTTTGTTAATTTTTTTAGATATTCTAGAACCATTGTCAAAAAGACGAACGCACTGTGCGTTATTTTCTTAGTTCGTTTTATTCTCCATCCGAACAAGATATTTATATTAATTCTACTCATAACTCACTCATTAAAATATATTCTTACTTGTCTATTAAACAAAGGATCTAAGCTTTATGTCGCATGAAAACGTTGAGGACTTACTTTCTAGTCTAATTATTTTAAAAAACGATTTCTGACCGTGAATAATTAGTGATAAGGCTTTCTTAATAACATTGTAAGTATGTATATAACGCAAGTATTTAAATAAAACACAATTTATCAGCTTAGTTAAAACGCGACAAGGCCGCGAACTTAAATTATGTTAAAAATAAGTTATCGCGTTTTAAGCCGTCAAAAGTGGTCTATCTAATGTTATATTCCAACTGCAAGTGTAAAATTTGAACACGTATTGTGCTTTAACAATTGGGCGACCGAATAAAAATGGTTTAAATTCTAAATTTTAAAAGAAATAAGAACAATAACGTAGGTTACAATAAGGTCCAAAAGAATGACCATCATTCTGAAGTTCATGGGGAGAATGTGCCAGATGGTGTACGAAGGTGGCCGAACCTCCAAATAATTCAGACAAGTGTAGATTTGCTCGCGGTATTGCTTATCTGTGAAAAAAATCAAGATTTTAAATAATTCTTTCATTTTTTGAGCCAAAAGAGTTAAATACATTTTTAAAAAGGGCGTATAATCTGTCACTAATCGACTTTATAGGAATGTCACCTTTCTTGCCCATACTTTTGTGCTCTGTCTGACTAAATCTACTGTTTCATCAAGAAAAATCTACAGTTTCATCAGAATTAGAAATCATACCTTTGAGCACCATTAATTCCGCAGAAATTGTTGATTTCATCCCTCCATATTCATTTAATGTCTTCTCAAGGAATATTGCACCCACACTCAGAACTGAGAAGTCTAAGACCGAACCCAGAAATACAGTCAGTGTTAAATTTCGTACGCTCTGGAAAATATTGACCTATATTATATAAATGCTTAAGGATTAAAACGCAAACAATAAAAAAAATAACTTACCTTTTCATTGATTATCACAACGATAGCAAAGTGTACATCAGATAATATTTTAATATAGCTATACACAACCTCCAGTAATGTCTGAAAAGTATTAAACCTTTAAATAGTGTTTTACAAGATCTCTCAGGCCGTTCTAGAAACTACTGTCAAAGTTGTAGTGTAAAGTATCGACATAGCCGCTTTGTCGAAAACCTTCACTTCTTTTTTAAAATATTCGAACATTAAATTGAAATGAACTTTTAACTCTGTCTGTAGTTTACGCGAGTAGTACGCATTTAAATAAAACACTTTAACGGTTTAAACGCGTTTCATTTTAACGACGGCACGATGTTTCGGATGTGTTGCAGCAGCCGCGGTCACGGGGAGACTAGAGATGGGGGGTGTCTCTGACGTCAAACTAAAAACTGCTACGCTAGCGCCATCCGTCCGTTGAATGGTATTTGGTGAAACTTGCCGGGTCCTTGCAGAATTAACTAATTAGTTAGTCAATTCTTGCAATATAAATCGCGTTTTAAACCGTTAAAGTGTTTTATTTAAAAAATAACTTATAACGTTTAAATTATAAAAACCAGCCATAGCTTTAGGGGTCACATTTTACTTAAAATTATGGTACTTTTTATTAATGAAAATAAACTAAGCCAAACTCCACAGATAATACACATATCCAGAACAGCAACATATAACGTAAAGATACAAAATTCACTGTGAAAACGGACGAATACAAATGATAACAATATTTGTTCTGATTAGTACTCACCAAAGCCGCCAGAGGTCTAAACACATTCTCAACATTATCCAACAACGACCTGTACATATATAGAAACTTCCTCAAGCAAATAGATTTCTCTTCAACATTCTTATCTTCAGTGAGTTGAGCCCGCAAATACTTGTGCAGAAACCTCATTCGAAACCATAACATCTCAAACAATATCGCAATAGGTAGGTGAGAGATATCTTGCGCAATTTCTATAATTTTTACAACTACGGCATAGGACGCGGGTGCCTCGGAATAAACAATGAAGGTGAACAAATCCATAATTGTTGTCAACGCTAACGAAGATAAAATCGCTACAACTGATATAACGGGGAAATGGTTGCACTTCATAACATTGTCGAAGGCTTTGAAACCCGCGCAAAGCCTTAATATAAACGACTGTTTATGCCAAAAAGAAGCGAAAGCATTGATTAAAAAACGAACAACGGGTATACAATTGTAAGACCTGTGAACTGGAGTTACATCACCGATAAACAAGAACAGAATAAAACAGATTAGTACAAATGCAATACAGTATAATTTTACGAACAAACGCACAGTTTTCGATGTAGAGAACTCATAATAATGCCCGAAAAAGAGGCGAAAAAACAAAATGTTTTCTAGAGATAGGAAACGTTTTAGACATGCTAACATTTTCGATTGTTAGAGTACTATCCACTTCATGTAAAGTATGAAGCCATTTACATTTTCATGTTTATATCGACAAGGACAAACTACTCCGTTTGATTAAACTTATATCTAATTTCATCGCTTTTCATTTTTATAATTAAAATATTTTCTATGAAAATTTTATTTAATAGCATTTGGACATAGCTTTATTATAAGTTATAGAAAATGATATTAATATAATTCTTCGAACAATCGAGGAGCTAACAAAATCTCCTGACGATGCCGTTCGCTCGTGATGACGAATCAAAAAAGCCTCTTTACGCTTATGAAAAACATTGATTACCTGAATATAATGATTATTGTAAAAATTAACTTTATCAGCATTTTTATATCAACAGACTTGCTGATATACAAATACTACTAGTATTTGTATATCTGACTATGACAGAACGTAAACTAGACAAGTTCCTAAATTTACAACAATGACTTCGGTTGCTGTGCACTGTAATTCTTTTTCGCAATATGGTAAGTAAGTTATTAGTTAGGATTTTATTAAGTTTATTTATTGTGAAAGCTACACATACAAATTGTTTAATATATTTAAGTAATAAGATTAACTTTAACGGATATAGCTCGTAGTAGACTATGGGCTCGTTGGGGTAATGGTAGCACGGCAAATAATCTACGGGTTCAATCTCCACCGGGGTCAACATGTTATTAATTTTTTAATCAGTTCATCTTGTTTAGATGGTATAGGCTGGGCTATTGTCTTTTCTCCACGATCATTAAAAAAGGAATAAAACAACAAATAAAGAGCACACGTATATCGCTAATACAAACGTTAAGCCAAGAAGAAACTATAACTAATTCGAAGCACATCCCGATCGTAAAGTTTATAATAACCGAAAGCTAACTGCCCTCATAAACATTGTAATAGTAACGACTAATCTAGCTCATACATGTCACAAACTATTGTAATACCCATTAAAAAAAAGGCACATCTAATTAATTCCACATTTTTTTTAAAGGTTTGTTAAGTGTTTTTATTATTGCTATGTTTTTAAGGGTCGTCTGTGGTTTGTTGTTCTTTTTATTAAATAAAGCCCTATTACAAGTAACATGTTGCTTTAACCATTCGGGGATATATAAAGAAGTTGGAGTAAATGATGAAGTACAATTTTTTTTTTATTATTTTGTATGGTGACCCAGGGTCTTCACTTTTTGATTTGCGTGTAGACCATGGCTGCGCCGAAAGAAGCATCACTCGACCACCCCTTCAAGCTCGCCTGAATGCGGGGATTTGGATGGTAGTTATATAATAGAACAACACTTGTTGTTCTTTTTCTTGTAATTCTCGGTCCGAACAAAATATTACACTAATACAACTCAAATTGTAATTAAAAACTATATATAAAACTAATGATGAATTGTTATTTAAATTACTACTTTAAAATAACTACTTCTAACGAAATTATTAAGTGAGACAGTTTTCTAACTATTATTATAATTTTATAGATGGGACGCGACCTGGCGATCCGTCTTGTGCGACAATTGGTCGAACTAATGTAGTTTCCCTAAATTTTAAAAGAAATAAGAAAAATAACATAAGTTACAATAAGGTCCAAAAGAATGACTATAATTTAGAAGTTCATGGGGAGAATGTGCCAGATGGTGGACGAAGGTGGCCGAATGTCTAAAAACTCCAGACACGTGTAGGTTTGCGTATCTGAAAGAAAGAAAAACGTATTTTTTTTATTATATACAGGCCTATACATATTACTTACACATGCCGTTCCCTCTGGGACATGGGACATTTTAATGGCTGTTACCGATCGACTTTATTAAAAGATCAAGATGGTGGACTACACTATCTAAGTCTAGCCCTATCCGACCTTACTTTTACTGTTTCAGCAGGATTCGAACCCATACCCGTACATACCTTTGAACACCATCAACTCTGCAGAAATCGCGGATTTCATATCTTCATGTTCTTTTAATGTCTTCTCAAGGAATATTGTACCCACACTCAGAGCTGCGAAGTCTAAGACCGAACTAAATAAATAATAAATAATAAGCCAATGTCAAATTTTGTATGCTCTGGAAAATATTGACGCATGTTACAAGAAAAAAAACAATTTAAAAGGTTTAAAACTCAATATACTAGTAACATACCTTTTCGTTGATCATTAAAACGATAGCAAAGTGTTCATCGACTAATATTTTAATAAAGCATAAAGCTATACACAAATTCCAGTAATGTCTGAAAACATTTATTTAGTATTTCTATTTAACTTACTTTTTACTAAATACTGTCTATAGTTTACGCGAGTAGTACACATTTAAATATATTTAATATCATATTTAATAATGCCCGAAGAAGAGGCGAAAAAACAAAATTTTTTTTTAGAGATACGAAACGTATTAGACACGATAACATTTTCGATTCGAAGTAGACTTATCTACAAAAGTAGTAGGGAGCAACTTACATTTTCATAATTATATCGACAAGGACAATCTACTTCACTTTATTAAACTTATATCTCATTTCATCGCTTTTCGTGTTATTCATTTCTAGGACAATGTTGTATTGGTTTTATACCACTTTGAAAGCCATATTATAAATACACAACAAACTTACATTTAATAATAAAACATCAAAAATGTTGGGCATCACCAAAGACTTTCGTATTGAAAAACAAAAAATACTTTTATGTGACATATACATATACAATATAATGATGTTGTTAGTATTCGGCTTTATGAGAATATTGTAACAAAATCAGATAACATTAAATATTTTATCGCTTAATTAATCTCTTTACAAATCATGTTTGCTTACCGCATTCGACATTCAAAAGGCATGTTTGTATTGAATAAATCACATATGACTAGTCGTGACTGTACTTTGCTATAGGAATATACACTTTACCGGCAACATTTAAGGTTTAAGTAAATATGGAATTTAGTTAGCTTTGATGTGACGCTATAGCTCAAATGAATGGTATCAGTGAATTTGAACAGTTTAATATTGCATCCTGTTTGTATTATGTTATGTGAACCCAAAAATATAGTTAGTATTCTAGATACAAAAATAGTCATCATTAGGACATGTTAGCTCCTCGATTGCTCGAAGAATTATATTAAAGAAATTTTTCTTACTGCAAATGAAGATTCTTTAATCGTTAAATATTTTGATTAACAATAGGTTGACATTTAATAATAAAACGAAACAATTTCCATTAAAGGTTCAAGACGTTTATTTACCCAAGAAATAAATTTCACTTAAGCGTAAACACAATAATATAAAGTACATATTATGTTGTAGGTACGAAGTCAAAAAGCAAACAATTTTAAACAATACTATAATTACACAAACACACAATTCGTTTTGATCTTAGCTATAAAACTGCATTGCTTTAATTAGTAAATAATAATGAAAAATAGGGACTTCGTAGCTCAATTGGTTAGAGCACGGAACGCTGTTGATGCCAGTTCAATTCCTGCCCGAGTCGTATTAAAAAAAATATAATCAATTTTTTTTTAATAGGTACTCGCAAGCTGGTGCAACATCGACGCATATTTTAGGTTTTTTTTCCTTATTTAATATTTCAAACAGTGCTAAGAATATAATGTTTTTAATTTGTTTTAATTCATTGATTCATCTTATTCTTTTAATACTTATAGGTAAAGGTCATTATTTATTTTACCACCTTCATATATAATGTTATTTTTACTATAATTAGTGGTTGCTGCATAATTGTATTTTAAAACCACAAAATACATTTCTGATATCTATCTATTGAAAACCATTTCTTGTGTTTAAATTCAAACCGTGCGTAGAGGGTGAAATTACGACCTATTTATATTAAATTAACCTCTATATCTAGTTACACTCATTACTTAATTATAGGCTTTGGTTAACATGAAGCAGGTACATAACCGCGCAACATCATGTCTGTTTGCAAACAGAATCCTCGCCTGAGGCAGTAATTGACTAAGTGCTGTTAGTTGCTCCTGAATCAAACGTTGTTATGCTTATTTATTCATGTTCTATGGTTAAATCAATTCCTTATCAACCGGGAATTATGACAAATATCTATATACTAATATATAAAGCTGAGGAGTTGGTTTGTTTGCCCGCGCTAATCTCGAGAACTATTGGTTCGAATTAAAAAAATATTTTAAATATGTGTTCGTTAGAACATTTATCGAGTAAGGCTGTTAAAATCACGATGTGACCTATAGCAGCGAAAAACAGCGGGAAATGTAAAAGAAACGGGGATATTTATTCTTCATTGTGGGTTTCCGTTATGTACGCTGCAAAAACTTTCACGAACGACGGGTCGACGTGGACGAGGTTTGCAAAAACAAACTCGACGCAGACGAAGTCGCTGACACTGATATTTTATATCTATATAAAATATCTGAACCCACAGCTAAAACTGCATATTGAGGAGACTGAAAGATCACGTTTCTTCTATTACCTAAGCATAAAAAAAGAGAATTTCCAAAAATACTAACGCTGTCTAAACGCATACTGATGTAAAGAAGTTGAAAGGCCCTTGTCAACCATCAACTTTATAATTTTCATAGTTGTGCTTGAAAAAATTTGTGAGTTAGTATGAATGATATACAAAACAAAATGTTTTGTATATCATTAATACTAATCGTCTAATCGGTTGAAAACGATGGTAAGATAAGTAACAAGAAAAAACCGCGTGCCAGTACATTGTATTTAAAAAAATACACTACTATAACAACTATATATTACTAGGTTTTATTTCAATCTAAATAAATCTTAACTACTTAGCTTAAAATCCAATTTTAAGCTAGCATTTCGCAGGTGCCGTCGAAAACCTCATATAATGTACTCTAAATCTCAAATGAAAGAAGAACAATAACGTAAGTTACGAGGAGATTGAACAAAACTATAATCATTCTGAAGTTCAGGGGCAAAATGTGCCAGATGTTGTAGGAAGGTGGTCGTTCATCCAAATACATTAATGTTGTATATAGTTGGTCGCGGTAACTCTTTTCTACAACAAAAATTACTGTATTAGTTCATTTGATCACTTCAGTAGCCACTTTTGTGAGGCTGTTTAATCATTTTGAAGTAATTAACCATATTTGCCCTCTACTAAAATAATATAATTTACGCGAGTAGTACACATTTAAGTAAAACTCTTCTAACGGTTTAAAACGCGAAATGTACGGGTTAAACTTATTTACAATTATTTCAACGTCGAGCCGCAGTTAAAATAATTTTCAAACAAGTTTAACTAACATATATTGCATTTTAAACCGTTACTTGTCAGAAACAATATCAAATTATTAGAGTCTCCAATAATAGAAGGCTTGCCGCGTTTATAGTTCAGCGTTCATCCTTACTAATATTATAAATGCGAAAGTAACTCTGTCTGTCTGTCTGTTACTCTTTCACGTCATAACTACTGAACGGATTTGAATGAAATTTGGTACACAGATGGTCTAGACCCTGAGAAAGAACATAGGCTACATTTTACTTTTTATAGCGAAAAGGGGGTTGTAATGGGTTAAAAGGGGGGGATGAAAGTTTGTATGGAAATTTGTGGTTTTTGAAGATAGATCATTGAAACTTTCTTCTTTGGCTTTTTGAGAATAGGAGTGGGGGTGGGAGTGGGAGTTAGAGTAGGAGTGATGTGAGGTGAGAATGTTGCGGCGGTGAGAAAGTAGCACTTGCAACATGGATTGGCTGCGATAAATACGCAATAATAATTAAAAATTCTACCCTATGACCGAAGTCGCGGGCAGTAAGGTATAAAAATATCTCTGATCTCACCTCTCTTCACTATTAATTCGGAAGAAATCGCTGCCTTTATTTTCTCACATTCATTCTGCGTCATCTCAAGGAATATTGGGCCCCAAGACAAAACAGTAAAGTCAATGGCTGCACAACTTAGTATCATAAGCGACAACGGTTGCATTTTCTTAAAGGGAAGAAATCCTTTATAAATTAAGAACATTAACTCGAATAACACTCTTAACGGTTTAAGACCCGCTGTCATCATTAGAGTATATCGTGTTTTAAACCATTAAAAGTAATTTATCGAATGTGCACAATTTGCATTGACTTTTGAAATTATGAAAATGTTATTGTGTTAACATTACTTTACAAGAAATTTTTAATCAAATAATTACCTTTTCAAATATAATAATGCATATACCCAAATAGACATCAGTCAATATTTTTATGCAGCTGTATACCACATCTATGAATGTCTGAAATTGTTTTAAATGTCAAAGTACGAATTTACCCCCTAAAAAATTTTATTTATAAATGGATGGTTGTAATGTCGAAATCTTGTCAGGGTCACAGACCCTCATCAACAGATGGCAAAGGCCGCGAAGTTAAAATTTGTGAATCGATTTCAGTCAATGGATTTCATAAAGCGCATTTTGAGACAGTTAAGATGTTAAAGGGTATTTTACCTTTCATCATGACTCCGTAAAAAAAACATGGATTTCTTGATGATGATCTATAGTAGAGAACAAGCAAGTGTAATCTAATCGCTATACCGTTTTTTTTGTGGTTTCACTTTAAAAAAAGCCCCTAAAATAAATAATCTATTCTTTCCGCACTATCGTTAACGCGTTTTTTCTAAATCGTTATAGTAGTTAAGATCCAAAAGGAAAAATACATATAATAACGTACTCACTTTCCTTTGGTTTCCTGTTCTCGGATAAAAAGTTTAATACTCACCAACATCACAAGAGTTTTATAAATCATGTCTACGTTATCCAGTAATGTTTTATATACGTGCAAAAACTTCCTTAAGCAAAGCATCTTCTCCTCAACATCCGTGTCTTCAGTTAACTTAGGAACCAAGTTCTCGTGCAAGAACGCCATTCGACGCCACATTATCTCGAATAATATAACTATGGGCAAGTGTGTTAAGCCTTGTGAAACCTCCATGAATATTTTCGGAAAATCCGTCGATATGAACGAATTGTTAATTAAATGAAAACAGATTATTGAGATTTTGACTGTCTGAAGTAAAACAATAACTACTGTAGATATAATCTCCTGCGAATCACACTTAGTAGTTTTATCTAGGGTTGATATATTGGAGTAAAATCGAGTGATAAAGTTTTGTTTGTGCCGCAATGCGAACAAAACGTTGACAGTAAAACGAGTCAGCAACAGTATAACATAGAATCTGTGTATATGACTTTGCTCAAGAAATAGAGAGATCAGAGACACATTCACAATTACAAAGCCAATGCATAAAATTTTGAAGAAATCGCGCACAGTTTTTGACGAAGAAAATTCATAGTAATGACCGAAAAACAGGCGCAAGAACAGAATATTGTGTATAGAAAAGACACGCTTAACTGCCGGTAACATTTTTCTAAAATCCCGAACTGGATGTTACTTCCTGAAGAGTGTAGTTCACAATTATATTCATGAAGCGTCGAACAATCTATTTTTATCGCGTAATACACTAGCATTGAGATCGATTATGCATTTCATTAATAAAAGTACGATATGACTCTATGATTATTGTGACTTTTAGATGCGGTATGACTTTTAAAATAATTGGTATTAAAATAATTATATGTTAGTTTATAGTTTCATTGTTTTTATCTGTGGTATAAATGTTTCATTTTATACTTTTGAATGAGTTGTTTCAAATATGTAGTATATGTTCATAACTAAATCATAGTAAGTTCCAATGGAAAACAATTTTTGTAAATACTATTGGATTGTTGTAACGTTGGAAGGGCTATCGCCATTTTGACTTTTCATCGATTAAAAGTTGGTGGTTCCGGCCGAACTTCAATGTTCCTCCCACCAATTTCCTGAGATTTCAGTTTTTTCCGACGACAGGCTTTAAATTACAGACATTTGCTAGGAATCAAACTATCGGCCCATTTTTATAACTCTATCTGTTTCAGCGACTTCGTCCGCTAAGAACATATTTTGGGCATCAAAATTCGTTTTTGCAAATCCCTTCATCTTTAAAAACCCACGACGTCGGTCACGTCTCTTCCCTTCCTTCTTGCAAGTTACTCTTAAAATATAGACATATTTTTTTAGATCATTTAAAGAGGAATCATTCTTTCATACATATGTTTTGGATATCTTGTACCGTTTTTGCAGATCAATAATTTTCCCATTTTTTTTACATTTCCCGCTGTATTTTACGCTTGTATTAGTCACAGAGCTATGTTTTATATAGCATAGTTCCTAAGATTAGCGCGTTCAAACAAACAAACTCTTCAGCTTTATATGTTAGTATAGATACATTAGTACTCGATCAAATGACAGCATATAGAAGCGAGTTTTTATTAAATTTGTTTCACAGAGGCAGATAATATCTTGTTAAATACAACTTACAGTAAGTTATAACCAAATGTGGAAGCCAGTGTAGATAACGTCTAAACTCCTTCACAGAGCAATTTGCACAAATTGCGCTGAAGTTCAGATGAAATTGAGTCACCGAAACTACTCGATATCATTAGGAACGGAAACTTGTGCTTCTAAATGAAACCGCATTTTATTGCATAAACTAAGTACAGATCAACGATCTCAAAGACGCTGTTGTAATCGCCAAAACGGTTAACGTCCTTGATATCTATAATGACATATTTATGTAGCTCAGCTCATAGGGTTTTTTATATGATAAAGGAGGAAAAACAGCATGGTTTACCCACCATTTCTGTTGTACCCGCATTCCAACTTGTCGGCAAAATCTAAAGCGATTATCATATTTTAAAACTTATATTTTTTATGCGTGTGCACACGATGGCACTATATACATTGAAAATCGATTTTAGAACGATTAAGGCTTGTTCGAACCATAGTATGCTCTGGATGCCGTTACAAATCCATGCCGTAATTTTTTTTAATGTAAAATCGCGTCTTAATGTGTGTGATATATAGGTCATAAAAGTAATAGCAGAATATATTTGTGTATTTAAATAAAAATAAATAAATTATATTCATTCTAAGCTCTTTATATGGAAACAATACTCCCATCTTTCCATTGATATAAGATTAATTAGATATTTGCCAGAAAGTCTAAATACCACTTTGCTCTCAATTCAAAAATATTAATACACTCAACACTTAGACTACAAAATGATCTATTAAATTATAATTAAACAAGAACTAAAACCCTAAGATAAATTTTCTTAGATACAGCTAGTTGATAAAATGGAGACGTGAAGACGAAAAGCGAGTGACGAAACTCCTCACGACACTCAGTACCTAATCAAACTGATGTAAAATCTGAAAAATTCATGAGCACACTGATAGTGAATATGCCATTGACACAGAGACACAATGCCGCGTAAAACGCCATTTTTAACAGTATTTCTAAATTTTAACCTGCAATATATATGATCCACATTTTTTTATGATTTGACATGTATTTGTTTGATTTTTTGTTAGAATATTATTTTAATAGAATATGGATTATAAGAATATATAAATAAAACGAAATATGTGGTCAAATAATTTACGTTCACATTAGTTGTTTACTTATCATACTGGCAACATACAATAATATTATAGTAATTAATTAATAAAAAGACAACTATTAATAAAAAATCTAGTTTTGCTTCTCAATAAATATATACCGATACACTTTGCTTATATTACTATAAAATTTCGCCAAAACTGGACACATACTACTATACGAATAAATATTAAAATAAAAACGATCTTTACTAAATTTACTAGTAATTGTCGTTGCCCATTCGTTACGTCCGTGTGTCTCATAAGCAGCTCTACGCTTCTCGTAGCACCATTAAAACACGCAGGATCAGTTGAATCTTGCCATTCGCCGGGATTTTATAACTTGAATACATAATTTATGGCCGGAGCCAGCTCACGAAGAGCGGAAACTAGTGCCTTCATAACCCTTACGTTGCTATCCGGGAATAAAAGATGGCGCTGAGAGTTATTTGAATTAGGGCTTAACTTTATTTCCCTTTGAGTTTTTGCAAGCCATTCTCATGCATTTTACTGGTAAAAATCTAGGAATTTTCGTGTTGCGATATAAGAGAGTAGATTTTATTAGAAAATGCTTATTGAAAGTTTAATTCATTCTGCTCGTTTGATATTTTAATAGTTTGTATTTATGGGATATAGTCCTATACATAATCTGCCTTGTTTGTTAACGTATGTACAATAGCACATAAGATTTTCCCTCATTTATGTGTATTTTCTGTGGTATGTTCTATAAATAATAAAGCAATAATAAATAAATAAAATAAAATATAATACCATAAGCTCTATATTAATTAAATACATAACTACTATGCATTGTATGATATGTTTTACACATTGTTAAAAACTTAGTACTGTTTACTAAATTATATTAAAAATGAAAGACTTATTAAGAATAGTAATTAAAAGAGGGGAAAAAAAAAAAAAAAAAAAAAAAAAAAAAAAAAAAAAAAAAAAAAAAAAAAAAAAAAAAAAAAAAAAAAAAAAAAAAATAAAAACCCCCCCCCCCGGGGGGGGGGGGGCCGCGGGGGGGCCCCCCCCCCCCCCCCCCGCCCCCCCCCCCCCCCCCACGCCGGGGGGCGGGGAAAAAAAAATTTTTAAAAAAAGTTTAATAAAAATTTCGGTTTTTAAACCGTTAAAGTGTTTTATTTAAAAGAATAGTAATTATTAAAAAGATGATTTAATTCAAATGTTCAGACACTTATTTTTGACTAGTTATGAGGTTGGGACTTTGATCCCTGATCGTTTAACGAAATATATACCTTGATGTACGCCTTGTCTGTGTGTGTATACTTTGCAGCATAAGAAAATGTAGTGAAAAGCCGACAAGTGTCTTACGCCGAGCTATATCTACACAACTTTGACAACATCAAATTTAATTTTCTTTTGAGGAGGCAAAAGATTCAGTAGTGGGAATCAATACAGGGCTTTTAATTTCGAACGTGTACGGTATAAAAGGTTCCAAAGTACGAAGCGACACGGGCGTATACTATGTGCATTATAAACATAATTTACATGACATACACGAAAACGAATTAAGTCATTGCAAATTGTGAATAATGCGACATCGCGTCAAGCCGAGCGAAAATGTATGAAATTATATGAATTATTCATATTCAGCTTTCCGATAGCTAGGGAACCGGTTTAACTTGAGCCGCGCGTAATAAAAATTTCTTTGTTGTTCTTTTAATAAAGGAAGCGCCAAACAACAGAATTTGAGAATTTACATTTTGTCGTAAATTCCTTTGCTATACACATTTTTTAATCTTAATTTTAAATTTCATTATTTTAATAAAAATATTCTTGAATGCCATCTTGTGACTAATAGAAAATATATCTATATTTAAAGCTAACATTAAATATTGTTTATAGTTTACGCGAGTAGTACATATTTAAATAACACTTATACGGTTTAAAACGCGAGATATATATATATATATATAGTTAAACTTGTTTGAAAATTAATTTAACTACGGCCCGGCGTTTCGAATGCTTTGCAGCAGCCGTGGTCATAGGGAGAGGGGAAAATCATTTTCAAATAAATTTTACTAAAATATACCGCGTATGAAACCATTAAAGCGTTTTATTTAAATAAAAACTATCATTTCGAAGAAGTTAATATAATTAATAAAATGTTAGCGTATAAGATTACATTTAACACTTCTTTACTACTCTTATTATTTATAACTTACTACTTTTTAAGTTCAATATATCAAAATTCAAGCAGAATTACGTAGGTATGTTCGATGACAGAGTTCCTCTTTCGCCGGTCGTTGTTTTGTATTACAGTAATGGATACATCAATCTTATTGAGATTACCCGCCTGGCATTTTTGAATCAGAGCGGTATTTGAGGGTGAAAGGGAATAAATTCTTTTATGTGTATCGTATACATTTTGTCATAGA